CAGACCACACGGAAAGACGGTTAGGTCTTGTTGTAGTAAGCCACAGTTATCGGGTTTGCTTATCACTCCCCATATCATCAGGTCGTCTGCAAACAGGGCACACGGCGATCGAGGAAGTTGAGGTAAATCGTTGGTATAAATCAGGAAAAATCCAGGCCCCAGCACCATGCCTTGGGGTACGCCACTGGTCGATGGATACCAATCGGTCAGGTGGCTATCGACTTGTACCCTCCACTTTCGTCCAACGAGGAAGTTCTGGATCCACTGGTGCAGAGATCCACCAACACCACACACTCTCGGCTTTAAAAGGAGGACCTCCTGGTTCACCTTGTCGAATGCTTCTGAAATCGATGTAGGTCACGTCGACAGACTTCCCTTGGTTCACTGCCTGCATCCATTCATGCCTTGTCACGAACAAGTTGGTAATGCATAAACGACCTGGCGTGAAACCGTGCTGTGCGAGTGACAGGATATCTTGACCGGAACAACTGTAGCAAACGTTTCTTCATAATCTTCTCTGCAACCTTGGCCAGAATAGGTGTCAAACAAATTAGCCTATCGTTCTTTTTTGCTGGGGTCACCGCCTTTCAGAATCGGCCTTATCACCGACCATTTCCAATCAATCGGCAATGTACCCGGACAGTGAGTTGTTGAACAGGTCAGTTAAGGCAGGCGAGATGATGACTGATAAGGATTTGAGAATTAGGAGGTGGAGCCCGTCATGCCCAGAAGTCTTGGTGCCGTCAAGATTGTCGAGTAGCTGACGCACCTCTTGCACATCATAATCCAGACTGTGGAGTTCGGTAAGGGCGTTGCACGCCGAACTCGGTACAGACATCTGGGCATCTGCAAACACAGAATGAAAGTGCGCCACCAATGCGGAATCACGCCCAGTGCTGGAGATAGGGGGGTCCGTTCTCGTCCACTATCACTGGTAGGTTACTTGTGGACCTCAGGCGCCGCTTCACGCAAACAAAGATTCTCTTTGCAGCAGTTGCAAGTTGCTCTTCGAAATGCCTGCGCTTGCTGGTTTTCACACCGTTGCAGATATTTCGCTGCTTTTTGTACATCTCATAGTCGTTGTCCGAGCCAGAGATAAGGAATTTGTCACATAGCCTGCGCCACTGCAGAGCCAGCTTACCATATTTTTCGTCGAACCAATGTAGCTTGACCGGTCTGATTTCCCGACACTTGGGAGACACAAATTGGTTACACAATGAATTTATTCCATACTTTATCACTGAAAAACAAATTTCAGCAGATTGCGGCAGAAACCACTCTACTTGGCTCGCGTCAGGCCGTCGAAATCCGTCTTCCAGTGGTTGTAATCTGGCTGCAGTCTGTGGGATCGTTGCGGTGGCAGCTCCATGTTAGCAATAAGAACTGAGTGGTCGCTTGCTGCCGGAGGCTCCAGAATCCGAATGTCATACGTAGGTTGTTCACAGCTGGTTAACATCAAGTCAAAGCACGATGTAACTGAGCGCAGTGTTATGCGCGTCGGTTGGCAGATGTGCTGTGCTGCCCCAGTTTCAAGTACCATAACAGCGAACTTCGCTTCGACCTCAAAATACCTGGTGACAAGTTCAACTTAAGGCCAGCATATTTGAGGACAATTGAAATAGCCTATAAGTAGAAAATGACGGCGACTCATGTGGTCTCGCAGACGAGGAAGCCAATCCAAACAATGGCTCAGAAGACTGCGACAGAATGCACACACGAGCAGCTCTCCGTGCCTAAGAGGGATCGAGCAGCACAATTGCTCACATAGGCCATCTTCACTTCGGTGGACGCTCACGAGTCTTCCACACAGAGAAGACTGGATGTAGAGCAAGGTGCCACCGTGGGCATTCGATAGCCTATCACAGCGGAAGCACGAGTAGGCACTAAGTTCAAGTTCCTGGGTGAGTGCCTCATCGTTTAACTACGTCTTTGTGAGTTCTATTACATCTAGTCGCTCGAAAGCAAGGAAACGGCACAGCTCATCGCGCCCGTTCATAAGACTGCCGACGTTGGTAAAGGCTACACGCAGGTTGTGGTAAGAACTACCGGGCGTGACTGAAGTGTCAGCGACCGATTTATCCGAATTCGCGTTCGTGTTGTAATTACCTGAACATCTACAATACGTGGGTTTGTTTCCCTCTCACTAGTTCCTCGCTTTAGCTCAAACATGGCACACTTTAGACGCTTCCGGTCAGCTGGATCGATATCCGGACGAATATACACCATATTCCCTCTTAATCTACCCAGCCGAGGCAGTATCAGCTTGGAGCTGGCCTCGTCAGCAAAACTTGCTCGCATAAGTCGGTCTTTCTCAGCAGTGTTTTTGCCGAGGCGGATGACTTGCTTCACTTTCTCTCTGTCCTCAGCCACATCGAGGAGCCTATCAACCAGGCTTTGTAGAAACTCTACGTCATGACAATAGCGTGTCTGAGAACTTGGATCATTGGACTCAGACGCGTGAAAAAGCATCAGATTTAATCGCCCCTTGTCACTCAAAATGATTCCTGCGGAAGAAGGGTGAACGCGAGCGTTGTTTGATCTGGTTTTTTGTTGGTCAGTAGAATGTAGCTTTTCTTCGTTTCGTGGCTTCTTCCGTCGTTGAGCTTTCCACGGCTTCTCATGCATTGGACATTCATCTGCGTCACTAGAGCTAGGAGAGCGCAAAGTCAATGCATCATTAGCCTCAGTTAGTGTCGTGTCTCCGGAAACATTAGGATGGCGAGGTAATGAGTTGTCAGAGGGCGTTGAATGGGATGAAGGCTGGATTGAACCTTGGATGGACTCTAGGCCAAGTTGCGGGACAGTAAGTCTAGAACCACCCATAGTTAAAGGATTTTGTCGCGACCTGTATCGGTAGATGTTATATGTTTCTCCGGCTTTCTTAAACTGCGAAGTTTGTTGCACAAAATTTGGATGAAATCATGTCAAATGGAACATAGAAGATGATAGAAACCGGCAAGTAATTCAACACACGAAATATGAGATCAAGCATAACAATCGAAACATGTGAAGGCATTTGCCGTGTTTCCAACAATTTTCGAACGGGAACCACAACGTGATTTCTTCGGCAATTTGGAAAAATGACGCAAAAGTGCCGTAACGTGGGAAAGCAGAATTTGCAAAACAGAACTATGAAATCTGTGGGAACATATCACACAAAATATGATACAGAAATTGCAAACTCAGAAATCAAATTGAATGATTCCGAAATTTCCACAAAATAATTCCAATATGCCGGTAAAACCTAAAGAGAGTACCCTGACAACGCACTAACGGAACAAGCAACCGGAGGTCGCTAATTGCTATATGGCCAACCGTATGCAGGGAAGCGGAACGCGGGAAAACCGAAGCCACCTTACCAGGACATGGTTAGCGGCAGCCGGTTCCGGAATTGCCAGTCATTGCGGCCTAACTAGGGTAACCACAGGAGGCCTGTGCCTACAAAGGGACAATGGGTGTCTTGCGCTGCACCACCCACCGGTCCATCCAAACGCCCCATATCCAGTGTAATCGCGAACAAGTAAGCCTGGGGGCATGTGTGTGGGATCGAGGTTTTATCAATGCATCCGCTCCACACTCCTTCAACATACACAACAGCAGCATCCATGTCTATCAGATCTGGAACGCATGGGTAGCAGAGGTACACAAGGCGGTCGCCGGGCCGTAGCCGGTACCACACTGGATGCATGGAACCACTCTTGGAGCTTAGCAAGGACACGAGAACCGTGCACCCCGTCCTCATCAGTAGAAATTAGTAGTCCCGTGGATGCAGTAATCGAGGTGGTTTTCCGACAGGTAGGAACCTAGTCAATATTCACATCAAGCGCAGCAACACCAGAGATATCAAACAACCAACACAGAATTTGAAGGAAAACAAACACAAAATTGAAACGGATTATGCAGCAAGAAAACAGAACTGAGCAAATCAAATAAAGTAGAATATGTTTGATCTAGATAAGGAAGATCTAGTTTAAGTGCAAGTCAATGTAGCCAAATTGCGGTGAAGATGCATGATGTATGCACCATGACTAGGGTGAATTTAACACGAACCAATGTTGATTTAGGTGTCGGGAAACAATGGCAATGGATCGCCTCCAATGGCATAAGCACATCAAGAATGCCGTTGCTAAGGTACACCAGATAGGAAGAGAAACGTCAGTTACCGAAGCGACAGGCCTCCATGGAGCATAGCTCATCGGCGTCAAACAGATGGTGCTGTAGCACATGCGGTCGAGTGTACCTCAGCAGGTCAGTCTAGTAAGTCATCATCGTGACCACGAAGTGACAATAATGAAGAGGGGACTAGTAATGGAAATATTTGGGTGTTGCTCATCCCAACACTGGCACACCACGACCGATGTTTAGCGTTTTCGAAATGAGAAGTCTGCAAGTGAATTGAACGAGTCAGCCATGAGTGTACCTCAGACGGATCTATATACCGGTACTTGCACGTTTGATTTGCAACCATAAGGTCACCGGTTCGAATTCGCGTAGGGGTGGGCGTCCTCGCGGTATATTCAGCCCGCAGGCGACTGGTGGTGGTTGCGCGGCAGCGGAGTGCCGTTACGGCGTACAGCTGACGCTTTATTATTTACTTTCAACTGTTGCAATAAGCTTACCACTTTTAAGCAACGACATAACAGTCATGCGCAAGCAATTGATCCTCAATATACATATAACTCATCGACCCAGTGTCACAAAGCAAGGATATAGACAGCCTATGGGTTGTGTGTATAGTAGTGCAATAAAAAGGCTTTAGCCACTGAGCGCGCAAATTTTCCAAGAGGTTTTACGTGTATCTCCAATTTCAAGGGGGCACACATGGCAAGCTAAACAATCGAAACAGATGTGACGCGGGATCGGCGTGTGAACACTGGTTGCGATTTGATCCTCCAATACAAGGGGCATAATGTTCACCTGGAGAAAATCTGTCAGTTGTCAAATGAAAAGGAATTAGCGTGCGAGTGCACCTTTATCACGCTTATCATGAGGATTCTCACCAGGATTCTTGAAGCAACATGTTCGCCATTTCAGCAAGAAAATCATCCAATATGAGCGGTTCTTTAGTGAGTTTTGTGTAAAGCTTCAATTCCGCATCGCTTGCGGATCGAACAGTGATGGAGCATCGGAGCGCTAATTTTTTTGAACCAGCTGGTTCGAATCCACATCTAACCTTTGGATCCGAAGATGCGGTAAGGTCCGACTGGATGATCGTCAAATCACTCGCAGTTAGCTGGTCGGAGAAACTAACGATGCTCACCTGAGTAGACAAAAAAATGAAGATAGGGATGCACGATGCCGGTTAAAATATTGATCAACCAAATGAACAAAAGCTGTGGGACACTTACGGGCACAGAAATGTGAATGGGCGACGAACACAGGGCTTTGATTTCCCAAAACGGCAGAGGAGCCTGATATGTCGCTGTGGTTTTCAACCAAAGTGGGACACCAATGCAGAGGAATACGCAGAGGTAAAACAAAGACAACATCACGACCTGCTGCTTCTCCGCCGCAGTAGGCTGAAACCGAGAGAGTTCCTTCTTGTCATCTGAGCTCGAGTTCGCCGGCGTTTGCTCCATGTTGGTAACGTTTGTCTGAAAAATCGTTAGAAGGTATGGTGACTATATCATGTCTGGGTCGTCTCACTGCATATGTGTACTACGGCGCTAAATCGCGGTGGCACCAAAATAACACAATGCTGCAATCGGCCCTGCGAAAACATGCGCGATTTCCAAACTGGACGATGCATTAGAGTGTATAAGCAACAATGGAGATGGGAATCCCCACTTTCTGGTGAACACCACGGAAGCAGCCATGAGTATATGACACAGCCTAGGGGCTTCTCTCACCTAATTATGGAAAAAATGTTGAGACCGAAACGATAATCTACGCTTTAGGAAAGCGTAACATGTCAAATAACGACTGATTTGCAGACATTCAAACAAGTGCTGCACTGACAAGGGTGTGGCGTTGGAACGAAATTGACAATTTGGGACAAATTCTCCGCCATAACCCAGCAGTCCTCAGCACTAGAGCGTCCAAACTGCGCTAGCCACTAAAGTAAAGGGCAAGTATCGAAACCAGCACAACGCGTCTGACAGTCCGACTCTAATGGAAATTAACTTTGGCAAAAAGTACCCCAGCTACACGTCCTTTACAAATGGTTCAAAGAATTGAGGGAAAATATAAAGTACTTCCTGAAGGTGCGACAGGAAAGCGCCACATCGGAAATTTAACTTACGATGGGGTCAATTAGGCCCGAATGATTGAACTCGATTGGTACTCAATCACAAACATTAAGTCCCACACATTAACATTAGTTTGTAATCACTGAGAACGAACGGGAGTCTCGAAGCACAAGTGATGAATATGAAAATAAAGGAGCAATATGAAATTCCAGGAATAGCCAGAGAGCTTGCATCAAATGTTTAGTGAATAAAGGAAAAACTATTCTGAACTTATTAGACATATAGTTGTAGGGGGACAGGAACTATTCACAGCTCTATTATGGGGGAGCAATACAGCACATGTATGAACTACCACAATATGGAACCTATGTGCGAAATACAAGAATCTCCACATCGTCTGATGATTATGAAAACTAGTCGCAATAAACACACGCGAGGCAAAATATCATGTAGAGGCAGAAAAATCAGAAATAAATTGAGAGATGAATCGGTTATTTCGTGCATCCTCGTCACTCCTAATCAATCAAGAAGGATAGATATACAAAAGCGATCATTTTGGATCGATAGGTAGACTTGTGCTACCATGCGCCACGTGGACCAGGTGGTTAATAACGTGGATCCGGATTGGTTTTCCATCATGGATTAGTGACATAAGCTGCTGGCTAGTGGTGCGAACCACTAGCTGTCATGAGTTCGATCCCCAACAAGGGACCGACGGAATGCGCTTTGCTGACAAGCCTTAATGAAGCAAAATGATCGGCTGGTGCTTCTTCGACCGGAAGCATTAAGGATCTAAAGCAAGCCGTGTAATCCGAGAACGTGCGTTCGAGCCTGCGTAGGGGGCCGAGTGACTCTCGCAGTATCCTAAGCCCACGTGCGACTGGTGGTGGTTGCACAGCAGCGAAGCGTCGGTACCGCGTACCGGCGTAATGCTGATGCCTTTTCTTCCTTCTCTGCGCTACCAAGGTAACTTCAGGCGCGCCAGTTGGTTAGCTACCATCAGCACCATCAATAGTAGCAGTACATCAGCCATCTGAATTGATGCTTCGCTGCCAATCAAAGTACAAGGACCTATGGAAAGAACATTAAGGAAAAGAGAAGGGGGACTTACCTGAAAACCTTAATGCTTAAGAAACATTCAGAGTCAAGGCACCCACACCTTATCAACATACCGTCACAAACAGATGACTGTCGTGCAAAGATAAGGCGGCATCAGCGAGACAGCTTCCTTGCGGCCTTCACTGCCCCGCGTCATAATCAGCCATTACCCCGAAGATAACTCAGCACAAAACACACGTTTAACAGGCAATCCGACTAGGAGACGGCAGCAGACGCGCCACTGGTGTCGATTCCGTCGTCCTGTAAAGTCTCGAGTCAAAAACAAGGCGAGTCACTTGGACTCCAGCCTCGAATGCAAGACGGACGGCATCAAATTTGGTCGTCATTGACTTCATTTCACACTATCAAGTCACCTTTTGTCCACCTCGAGCCTTGCGCCACCCTACATCTGGCAGACTAAACAAGGCCCTCCTAGGTAAGCTGTGACTAGGCATACGTAATACGTGCCCAAGCCAACACAACTTATTCAGTGTTATCTGTTGTTCCAAGGAACAAGCTTGATTATCACTGCCTAGTACTCGCCTACGCACATCATCGTTGCGGACACGCGGGTGCGACCCGACACCAGCAATGCTCCGCAGACAACGATGATCGAAGACTTGAAGGCACTTCAGATCTTCAGACAGAAGGTGGCAAGTCTAACTCCCATAGAGCGGGACGGCCCTCACCGTGGCCTTGTGAACACGGCCTTTCAGATGGAGGGAAACTCCCTTCTGCGGTAAAAATGCCGCACATTCAAGAAGGTAGTTCTGGCTTTTGCAATGCGTGAACCCACTTCATTTTCTATGAGCCCATCGTTGCTGACGCAACTGTCAAGGTAAATGAATCGATCAACTACCTCGAGTTCCTCGTTATCAAGAATCAAGGGGTCATCAAGTGGCTAGTGGTCCTGCAGCAAAACTTTGCACTTTGAAGGTACGAAGTGCAAATCAAATAACAGTACCATTCTAGAGAGGTTGTTCAGAGTTGAGTGAGCTGCCCAGCATCGCTGAACAGCAAGATGATATCGTCCGCATTAGCAAGATCAACTAGCCTTTCACCAGGCAGGACCTCAACGCCTGTATCGAAAGATTCCGTAACACTCCATGATAGGGTCCATGACGAAATTAGACAAAAATGAGGAAATCTGACAACCCTGACGAACGCCACTTGTTGTCGGAAAGCTATCCGACACGTCACCGTAGACCCTGAAGCGGCCTGTAGTTTTCGAGTATAGAGCATGTAAGATGTTCACATATTTCGTGGGAGCATCTTTCCGCGCAAGAAGTGCGAACCGAATATATCGATCGACCGAATCAAGCGCACCCTTGAAGTTTGGAAACACAGCTATTGTCGGTCTGCGGTATGCGTGGCGCTGCTCTAGCACCTGCCGCAGAGTGAATATGTGGTCCATACAGCCATGACCTGGATGGAAATCTGTCCGCTCTTCCGTGCATCGGGTTTCCCTTTCTTCAGTGAGGCGACAAACGAGAATGGAGGCCAATAATTTTGTCATCACTGGCGTTAAGTTAATACCTCCACGTGGTTGGTACAATCTTTGCAACTGCTTTTCTTGTACAATGCCACTGTAATTGATTCACCCGTTAGCCGGGACGGTGTTTATCTGCCAGAGCTGTTCAAACAGGGAAGTTAGTACTTTGCAGTGGACCTCACATCCATCCTTAAATAGCCCAGGTGGAAAGGAATCCGGGACAAGAGCATGAAAACGATTGAGGGCTGTGATCGCGTTTCGGACCTCAGCCTCCGATGGAGCCTCTAAACTAAATGTCCATGGCTCATCATGCATCACCTGATTAGGAAGAAGTCCAAAAACGGAGAGACAACTGAACTGCTCTCAAAAGTGCACCGCTCAACGGGCCACATAGCACTCCTTGTTGTGAACCAGGGCACTCGCGCTGTCTCTGATTGTCTCACTGACGCCTGCTTCCCAAGGACCAGTGGTGCGGATCAGCTGGCTAGCCAAACAACTTTATCGTGGCACCAGCTGGGTGGTTCGGGATTATCCCGGTCTCGCAAATGGTTCGGCGACAATGTTCCAGGACATGGTGTGTTTACGCCAGACAAGCTATCTCCCACTAAAAAGCCACATATGCCTGTTTAGCGACATTGTGACGTGGCGGATATGACTCGCCACCGCGCATTGCTTCACTTTGGTGGAGCATTGGGAATCCGGGAACCCGATGCTGAAACTGTGTGAAGAATCGGGCCCCTGTTGGGTAACTGACCGAACGAAAGGCGTATGGATCGAGTCATCGGCCACCGGCTCCCAATGGGCGCGAATCTTAGAACGCTACGTTGCCTTGCGGGTAGCCTATATAGCCAATGGCTCGGGGTGGTGTCCCCTGAAACAACTCCCTACCTCGGTTTGGGGAACCGAGTAGTAGCTCGCCAGCTGACAAAGCCACGGAATCAGAAACTACTACTATGTCGTTCACTCCCGACCCTGCGATGCTCACTACTTACGCACCCCTATCACACATCAATCCTAGGTTCGTCAATGTTATCATCTGCTTCTATCTGCACGATTCCAGTTGAACTGAATTTGTTTTCTGCTCGCTTCGAATCCTGATCGAAAACCAGAAGGCGAAGCTGAGGCAAAAGCGTGTTGCAGAACAAGCTACTGAACGGATACAAGTAGTGTGAAAGCAACGGATAGGCTTACAAGTTAACCAAGGAAGATTCACGTATCAGAGCAACTAGGTCAGCTGTCCTGATTGGTAGATCCGTTCCACCAGCCAATAGGGAGGGAGCTACGTGTGCCGCATGGACGCGAACGCTCCTGTAAACACTGCACGTTTCGCCTGCACACCATTGACTCGATTTATTTTCCCACTGAATTAGTGAGTTTTCCTGGGAGATTTTACTCTCCCTGAGTCAATAATTTCTATGAATCTACCTCTGATGAATGTCCCGCTCATGTCCAAAGAGCCCAACCAGTGGCTCTCCTTCAGCCCCATTCTCGATTCGGCTGGTAGCCTTCAAGGTTAGAACCCTTATGTAGATTGGACAACAAGTCAGCCTAGTGCGCACTTGGAGTACCTCGCTATTGATGTCTGTTATCTTCCTGAGACTCGGTTACAGGACTACAACATGTTAGTTAAATTGATCTCAGGATAAATATTCCCTGCATCTGTCTGGTAACACAGAGGCCGCAGCATCTGGCTTGGCCGGTGTTGGGGTTGCACTGAGTGAGAAAGCTGAGGCCTCACTGCTCGATTGTTTCCAGATCGACAGCCGATGGTATGCAGTGCGACTTCAAGGCTCATGTAGGATCAATAAGCGTAGTAC